GAGAGCAGCCCAGGCCGCCATGCTGTCCGAGATCAGGCAGGCCATCGCACCGGCGGAGGCCATCACAAAGACGATGGCGATCGAAGCCTTCATGATGATCGCAGAGGACAGGGGAAGGAGGAGCAGAGGAAGCGGAGGCTGAGGAGGAGAAGGAGGAGGAGGAGGAGGAGGAGGAGAAGAAGGAGAAGGCGGAGAGAGAGAGGAAGGGGGGTAGGGAGGGAGTGATCTAGGGAGGGAGGCGATGGAGGAGGGAGGGTGGAGGAGGGACGAGGAGGAGGAGGATCCTGCATCCCCGTGCTCCACTACCTCCCACCTCCTCATCGATCCTCCTCCTCCTTCTTCTCCTCCTCCTCCTCTACCTCCTCATCCTCCTTGGCTTCCCTCATCTTCTGCTTCTTCTCACCTCTCTCCTCCTCTCCCTCCTCCTTCTTCTCCTTCTCCTCCTGTTCCTATCCCACCTCCCCAATGTCTCATCCAAGCTCTTATCCCTGAAGCTCCTCTCGCCGTGACCGCGAGGAGCTCAACATCCCCGATGGCCAGACCAAGAGGTGGGCCAAAAAGAACAGCGCCATGTTGCGCGCCATGCTCAGACACGTGGCGCAGGCGGCCAGTCGCTTCAGGACGTCGGCCGTTGAATTCACTCTCACCTCCCTGACTCCCGCTCTCACTGCCGCTCTCACTCATCGCCCTCAACTCTCTGATCCCCGCTCTGCCCTCCAAATTTTTGCTCTCGCCCTTGTAACTCTCACAGCTTGCCCCCGCTCGCTCTCAATCTCACTCCTACTCACTTTCGCTCTCGCTCGCACTCCCATTCTGATCCCGATGCCATTATCATCAGGAATTTCAGTCTCGCTATCACTCGCACTCCTGCTCTCGCACTCATTCTCGCATGCTCTCACCCTCACTTACATCCCCACTCTCAATCGCACGCGGACGGGCGATTGGGGAGGGAGGCAGGCTGAGAGGCGATGGGGAGCGGGGCATGGGGGAGAGAGCGGGAAGAGAGACGCATGGCGTTATCGATCCCGCGCTCTCCCCCTGGCCTTGCTTCTCCAAGCCATCTTAAGCCCAACCTCCTTCCCCGCTCGTCCGTCCGTGAATTCTGCGCGCCCCTAGGACTCGCGGGCAGCAGCCAGAGTGGTTCAAGACGATCGCGGAGAAGGACGCGTGGGGGTAACAGGGGAACCTCCTCGCCCCCTCCTTCCTCCTTTCGTCCTGTTCGATCCTCCTCTCCTTCCCATCCACCTCTCCTCCTTTCCTTCTCGCGTCCTGCGCTCCTCTCTTTCTCCTCTCTCCCCCCCCCTCCTTTTAGCCCCCCCCCGCCCACCCCCGCCGCAGCGTCGCTGCATCTTCGAGACCCCATCGGGGGGGGGGGCAGGGGGGGCAGGGGAAGGGGGCCATCGACTCGAGCACGAGTCCGACTCGAGAGGCCTTCCTTCCCCAACCTCCGCTGCCTCCCTCCACGAGGAGAACCTGAAGGCAATCGCGCACACATACAATTGGGATGCAGTGCAGCAGGCCTGCCCACGAAAGTGAGAATAATTAAGGCGCGGCCCCCAAACAGTTGGCATCGGCGGGGAGGGAGATGGAGGAGAAGAGGAGGGAAGGAGAAGGACAGGAGGAGAAGAGGAGAAAAGGAGAAGGACAGGGGAGGGGAAGGATCAGGATGACAGGGCAAGGATTCGGCGTAAAACAAACTTAAGAATGCATCGGTGAAGCATCGCCCCTCGACCCTCGGCCCCCTCGGGGCTGCCCAGCTGGCCCCCATGCGGGGCCAAGTGGCATAGATCGCACGCCCCCCCCACTGCCCCCGTCGTCATTGAGCCCCGATCGAGGGGGGGAGGGGAAGCAAGTACTGTTTTGGGAACCACTCCCCCTGGCGCGGCCCCGCCCCTCAGTAGGTCGGCTACCGCATCGACGCCAGCGACAGGAAGGCCAAGGCAGAGTACTCCCTGGCACCGGTGCCCGACTTGCAGCGCGCGGGCGAGGAGGTGCAAGTGGGAGGATGGGAGCACATGGAGCGTGGCGTGAGCAACCAACAGCTCGCGGACGTGCAGAAGGGCAAACCTGCTGGTGCGACAAACGGTGTCCTTTGGTCTGGAACCCACTGCGAGACAGGCGACGCCGTTCGAGCGTCGGTCTGGAAGCGGAAGCAAGCTGAGGAGTGCGGCATCTGGTGCAAGCCCCAGGGGAGCCCCAGGTGGAAGATGGTCGCGCAGCTGCTGATCACGAGCGACTTGGACAACCCGCGCGCTTTCATTGTAGAGCTCGGCAAGGGGTACGCGCTCCAGAACTGGGACAAGAAGAAATTAGAGGAACGCAAGCTAGAGTACCTGAAGGCTCAGAGCTCGAGTGGAGGCGCGAGCTCGATCGGAGGCGCAGCGGCCAAGATGAAGCGGCCCGCGGCGGCCGCGCCAGCAGCTAAGCCGAAAGCCAAGGCGAACGCCAAGCAGGAAGGGGCCAATCCTGCAGCAGCCGAGGAGCCGCCCGATGAGGATGGGGGCGAGGAGCCCGAGGGAGACGAGGGCGGCAGCGCCGACCCACCAGAGCACGACGCGAAGCTCGACGACAGTGCCAGCAGTTCCGACGACGAGCCCAGCCCGCCGGCAAAGAAGCGGCCCGCGGCGGCGGCGCCGAAGAGGCGGCCCGCTGCGCAGCAGGAGGCAGCAGGGAGCGAGGCGGAGCTCGCAGAGGGCGCGGCGGCAGCTGTGGCAGATGCCGCGGCGGCTGCTGAGGAGGAAGAGGTCGAGGCGGCGGCGGCAGCCCCAGCAGACAGCGAGGCGGCAGCGCCTCGCGCTGCAGAGCCTTCACCTTCAGCCGCCAGCGGTGGGCCTGCGGAGGCGATCCAGGCTCCGCTCCCCCTCCGTTCTTCTCCTCCTAATCCCCTTTCCTTGTGCTCCTGCCCTTCCCCTTCTCCTGCTCGAGGCGCCAGGCGGGCTGGGCGACGATCTGCTCGGCGACGAGGGCGGCCGTGGCCGCCAGAGCGACATCGACAGCGACGACCTGCACATGGGGGGTGGGCTCTTCTGAGTCCGAGCGGGCGCCGCTATAGCTTAAGACCCCGACCCTTCGAGGAGGGGGGATCCCGAGGGGGGGGGGAGGGGGGGGGAGGAGGGGGAGGTTGAGAAGGACGAGGTAGGGGGGGGGGCATCAGGAGGCGGTCGAGGCGGGGAGGAAAAGATAGGAGGAGGATGCGCTTTCATCATTTCGATTCGTTGCATGGTCGACGGGTGCACAAGCGCTCGCGAATGATCGACTAGAGGCCGCGTTAGCCCGAGTCCGTCGCTGCTCTTGCGGATTCGAGCGGCGAGATGCCGTCTGTCGAAAATCGATCCTGCCCTGAGTGACCCACCCCACCCTCCATCCCACATAGGTCAGCCAGCTCGGCATGACAAGAAGATGTCATTCATTGATCCCACCCGCCCCCCCGCTCGAGGATACCCCATGGACAAGATGGGGGGAGGGCGCATGCAGGCCCTGGGATCCACATGTGGTGCGGGGGCGGGGGCATCCACAGGGGGGAGGGGGGGGGCATGATCGACGGCCGCCGACCTCAGCTGTTTGAAGACCCAAGCCCGCGGCGCCCCACCCCACGAGTTCAGCAATTACATTCTCAGATGTCGGAGGCGATGTCGGATGTCGTGGAGGTTCCGAGCCCAACAGAGGCGCGGCCGTCCAACGTCGTCGATCGTCGGGCCCCGAACACTTGGTGTCTTGGGAAAGGGGGCCCCGAGCCTAGTCGTCACGTGGGGGCTGGGGTTGGTGTCAGATGAGGGGCGAAGTCAGGGCGCAAGCCGATGGTCGCCGACACGCGCTGATGAACCCATGCGACGAAGCGCGCGAGGGGGGGGGTAAGGGCAGACTGCTGAGGCATGTCTCTCCGATCCCCCTCCCTCGCGCCTTCTAACGCTTGGGCTCTCAGCGCGTCGACGACCCGTCGGCCGTGCGAACGTCCAATCATGCGTCAATCGCTGGACCGAGAGGCTGAGACAGCGCCGCCTGGAGTCGCGCAGCCACTTGCCCAGGGATCTTGGTTCGTCGGCGAGCGCCCTGGATTCAGCGAGGAGCGCAAGGCTTTCTCAAACCGCCCTGCGGGTTTCCTGGGGACGTCGGAGTCGAGGGGGGATTAGAGAAGGGATGCGATCCCTCGATGGGGACGGGTTGGAAAGAGGATGAGCGAGGTGGGGGAAGGGGGGTGACGCCTGCAGGATACCTTGCCCGACACAGCGTCCGAGTTCAAGGGCATGGACGTCAGCGCGCTGGTCACCTGGCACCGCCAGGAGCTCTCTTTGGGGTCCTCGCCATTCCTGTCGATGCCAGCTGCCGCTGATGCTGTTGCTCCATTGCTACCCTCTGCCTCGATGTATCTCCATGTCGGTGCTCATATGCTGCTGCCGCCGCTGCTCCCCCCTCCTCCTCCTCCTCCTCCTTCTCCTTCTCCTCCTCCTCCTCCTTCTCCCTCTCCTCCTCCGCCTCCTCCTCTTCCCCCTCCTCCTCCTCCTTCTCCTCCTCCCCTCTTTCTTCTCTTTCTCCTCCTCCTTCTCCTCCTTCTCCTCCTCTTCTTTCCCCTCCTGCCTTCTCCTTCTTCTCCTTCTTCTCCTTCTCCTCGTCTTCCTCCTCCTTCTTCTCCTTCTCCTCTCCGCCACCTCCTCCTCCTTCTCCTCCTTCTCCTTCTCCTCCTCCTCCTCCTTCTCCTCCTTCTTCCCCTCCTCCTCCTTATCATTCTCCTCCTCTCCCTCTCCTCCTCCCTCTCCCTCTCCTTCTCCTTATCCTTCTCCTCCTTCTCCTTCTTCTCCTTCTCCTTCTCCTCCTTTTCCTCCTCCTTCTTCTCCTTCTCCTCCTTCTCCCCCTCTCGATCTCCCTCCAGAGAACCGCTCACGTTGGCCGTGAGCGGTTTTCTGGGGGGGGCGCAGATTTCTGGATTTCAGTTGCGCGCTCTGGTGCCGTTGCCGAAATTGCACAAGGGCGCGCAAATGAAACGCGTTCCTCGAGCCGCTCAGGAGATTGTGGATACTTTCGGAGAGCAGGCCGAGGCGCTGATGGCAGAGGCAGGCGCCCCGCCTGCAGGCGAGCCCGAGGGCGTCGACCACGCGCCGACGGCTGCCCAGCTGGCTGGCGACGCGGCGGAGGAGGCAGCGGCGATGCGCCCAGTGGAGCCGGCGGCGCCTGCAGGCTGCCCGCCGCCGTCGGGCTGGCTCGTGCCGCGCAGCAAGCGCGCCCGCTTGGCTGCGCAGCCAGAGCTGCTGGCCCTCGAGGCGCAGCAGGTTGAAGGGGAGGAGGCCAAGGCCGATGTGGCCAGGATCGAGCAGGCCAAGGCTGAGGCCAGGGCCGCGGCGTTCGAGCAGGCCAAGGCCGCGGCGCTGCAGGAGGCACAGGCCGATACGCTCCATGAGGCCAGGCGCGAGGCGGCAGCCAAGGCCGTAGAGGATGCGCTCGAGCAGGCCAAGGCCGAGGCGCTTCAGGAGGCCCAAGCCGAGATCGAGCAGATCAGGGCTCAGGCGCTGGAGCAGGCCAGAGACGAGGCGCTGCAGAAGGCCAAGGCCGATGCGCTCGAGGCGGCGCAGCAGGCCAAGGCCGAGGCGATTCAGCAGGCCAAGGCCGAGGCGCTTCAGCAGGCCAGGCTCCAGGTGGCAGCCGAGGCCGCGGAGGCGGCGCGGGCTGGGGAGGCGCCAACGGCGGCAGCAGATGCCCCCGAGCCCCCCTTGGGCGCAGGCGCAGCAGGCGATCCAGCCGAGGAGGTCGCGGATGAAGCTGCCAAGAGGGAGAAGCAGAAGAAGAAACTCCACAGGGTGATCGACTGCAAGGCGCGCAAGCGCCAGCGTGGTGGCGGCATCAGCCCAGATGACGAAGCCCAAGCCATCATCGATGAGGCCGAGGCGAAGCGCCAGGCCACCATGATATTCAACGAGCGCAAGCGCGTCATGGCAAAGAAATTGGCCTATGAGCAGGAGGAGAAGGAGAAGGCTGAGGCGCTCATGCTGGAAGCTGAACTTGATGAGTACGAGGCAATGCGGAACCAGCGGTGGGAAGTCGCCTCAACTACCGCGAGCGACGACCGCAGGCTGAGTGGGTGTAACCAACATGATGTGGACACGGACTCTGAATATTCGGAGACGCCATGTGTGCCAGAGTTGCCGACGTTCGAGTTCGCCATGTCTGAGAGGGAAAAGGAGCAGCAAGCTAAAGATAGGCTGGATGAGCTTCACGAGGTGCCTTACCCCGACTCGGTCGACCATGGCGACGTGCCTCAGCCGTCGCCGATGACACCAGCGGCCACGAGCGTGCGGTCGGCGTCTTTGCCGCGCGCGGAGCCCCTTGCAGCGGGAGAGAGCAGTGGCTCCACGCCGCAGGCCTCCGCGCCCGCGCGGGAGACCGAATCCCCCTGGGCGGCAGGCTCAGCGGCGGCTTACCCGCCAGCTCAGCCGCCCGCGCAGCCTCAGCCGCAGCCGGCGCAGCCCCCGCAGCCTGCCCCCGATGCCCCCATGGCGCCAGCGACTGACAAGGAGACTCTGAGGCAACAAGTGGTCCAGCAGATGGATCGCGTCAACGATGCTGCGAAGGTTTTGGCAAGCTGCGCTCCCGAGAAGTTCGTCCTCGAGGACGCCGCGCAGAAAGCCGAGGTGTCGATCTCGCAGCTGTGCCACAGCGATCTCGTTAGGAAGATGAAAGCGCTGCATCAGGCTGACCAGGAGCTCTCGATGGATGCAAAGCAGAAGGCCTTGGCGGAGGAAGACGCCTTCTGGGAGGGCATGAAGGCGCACGATTTCAAGTTCGGGACCGCCTGCACTTCAGGCAACAGCATTGCGGGGCGCTGGGCTAGGGCCTTGAGAGCTGACGCTGCCTTGGCGGCAGAATACCGTGCGAAGGAGGGGTACCTCCAGAAGGCCGACTTCCGCGCTGCTTGGGCAAAGGGCAAGTACGACAAACACCAGGTGGCCAGGGGCCGCTCTAAGGATGAGAAGCATTCGAAGTCTGAAATCAGGAATGGGACATACGTGTCCCTGGGCCGCCTGGCATGGCTCGAGGGCGGAGGTTCGAGCGGCATGAAAATTGCCGTTCGTTACGCGACGAACTGCGTGATCATGGGGGGCATCTGGTGCTCGTGGGACGAGATGGGTGAGGTCCTCAAATATCTGCACGTCCAGCACAGCGTCCGCGACGAGTTCAAGCGCTCCTGGAGGGCGTGGGAGGACTGGGCCGAGCAGCCGACTGCACATGCTTCCGCGGAGGGCGACGCCGCGGCGCAGTCCGCGCCAGCCGCGACGCCCTCGCGCGCGGGAGGTCAGCCTGCCGCGTCGCCCCCGACGCCTAGCTTGATTCCCGCGACGCCGACCCCGACGGCGACCCCGACGGCGACCCCGACGCGGCCGCGGGGCGAGGGCGCTGCAACTCCGACGCCCAGAAGTGCTGTCAAGGGCCGAGGCGGCGGGGATGGTGATGGCGGCATCCCAGCACGCGTCATCTCGAGGAAGCCCGATGACAACGGGAGGAAGTTCAAGGAGCTGAAGAACTCCTACCAGAAGGCCACCAGCGAGTGCAACACCATCCTCAGGATGGTGAAGTCCGACCCCGATTGGTGCTGGGCCGACAACGACGTCATGATGGGCCCGTTGCGCAGCGCGGACAGCAAGGCGCCCGCTATCCTCCTTCACTTTCCTCCTCCGCCTCCGCTCCTCGGACCACCAACTGCCGCCCCCCCCGCCCCCTCCGCCTTGGAGGGGGCGGGGGGGCACGGCAAGGAGGATAGGGGGAGTGAAGGGGGGGGCAGGTGACTGGGAGGAGGGAGGGCATGGGGGGCTCGAGGATCTCGAGGGGGCGGGGAGCGACGCAGGCAAGGGCTCGGGGGGAGCTGGGAGGGGGAAGGAGGGGGCGGAGGAGGAGGAGGAGGTGGAAGGATGGGATGGGGAGGAGGAGGAGCAGGGCGGCGAGGGGAGGCGAGAAGGAGAAGAAGGAGACGAGGGCAAGAGGAGGATTGGAGGGGACACGAGGGGGCCAGGACAGAATAGGATGAGAGAGATGAGCGCCCCGATCGAGGTTCACGAGATCCTGAAGCAGGACCGCGACCTCGCCTCCTGCCTCGCTGGCCAGTTCGCGAACCTGAAGTCTACGCTCGGAGATGAGAAAGTGCAGGCGGTCCTGGGTCGCGCCGTGTTCGCTCTGAAGGAGCCTGTCGAGGCGCTCGACCACGAGTGCCGCCTGCTGATTGCTCAGCACAACAGCCGCGTGCGCCTGGTCTCTCTCCCTGAGAAGGCGAACCTTAAGAAGGCCAGGAAGGCCTCGAGCTCCCATGGGAGTCGGTGAACACAATTTCTGAGGGTTGCACCTAATACCTTCCATAGCAGCGCTCGAGTGCATGAGGGCCTCGATCGCAGAGCGTGCAATCGATAATTTAATGTTGGGGTGAGGTCTTGGGCATGGGCCTAGGCCTGCATGAGGGGCGGATCAGCCCCCCATAATGTTGCAATGCTGTCGCAGGGGTGTCGGCAGACACTTGGCACGCCAAACTACCGTATAAACTACCGGCTAAACTGCCCATATAAACTACCCGTATAAACGTAACGTTTCCCGGTGAAATCACATGGTTTCCTGCCCCCAGGGCCGCGTATAAACTACCGGCTAAACTGCGTATAAACTTCCAGGGGCCTCCCAGGGAACATGGAGAGCGTGTCTGCGGCGCATGCGGTGCCGATCTTGATTTCGGGACTTCGCCCGATCGGGGTGCGACGGCGCGGTGCTGGGGTTTGCGCCACGACAGCTGATCGCACCCCGTTTTTCGTGCTCTGTGCCTGTCTGCGCGCTCGATAGTGCGAGGGCAAACGACATGCGGCAACGCAAGAGGTCTAAACAGGGCAGTTCACGTATGCAACATCCCTTTGCAATCCAGTACAAGACAGGTGCAAGACAGGTGTGCTTTGGCGAGCTCGTCCCGAGGTGATCGACTATTCGCGTGTGCTGCTTTCTCAGAAATGGCGTCGTGGTGTGGACCCCGAATTCAGCGTTGGTCGTTGTTGCCAACGAGAAGCTACACATGTTGGAAGACCTGCGATCATAGCATGCCCTCGGGCGCCGATCGCTCGATGCAAGCACTGCGTTGGGAGTATTGCCGCCTCCCCATGTTCTTCGGGGGCGTTGGGGAGGTGGTTTTCCAAGAGGGCCCCCCCAGGGGAGGGAAGGGGGGGGGGAAGGGGAAGAAGGAGAAGGATAAGGAGGAATATAAGGAAAATGAGGAGAAGGAGGAGGAGGAGAAGGACAAGGACGAGCGGACGGCCAGGATCACGACGACGACCGTTGAGAAGAGGAGGGGGTGGGCGATCACCTCGCATGCCATCATCATCATGATATTTAGAGCGAGTTGCAGGGTTCTGAGTAGAGTAGTCAACACGCAAATTGATGACGTGGCGTGCGCGTGGCTCACGGCATCCGCCGACCAGCGAGGGATGACTATCAGTTGTTCGCAATCGTCGTTCTGGTCTTTCCAGCGCGGGTGCTAGATATCCCCTCGGACAGTGCACATGGCTCGCATAATGGGAAGAATGTCTGAGGGGATGGGTCATTAAATAAGTAAGGCGCCCAGCTTTGCTCGCTCGCACGCCCCCGAGAGCTGCTCGGTTTGGTCCTGGGTCTCATCGCGCCCACTGGCGCTCAAACCTCCGAGCCTCTCCCCAAACCGCGGGCCCCATTGGCGGCCTTCAAGCACTTCTCTGGGGTGAGACCAGCTTCTCCTTCGCGCGGATGTCGAGCGCCTGGGCGGGCGCCCTCCCCATGCCATCTTCCTCTCCGCCAAGTCTCTGCCCCTCTCCCCTCTTGCCCCTTCTGCACTCTACCCCGCCCGTCTCTCCCGACTCGTTCACCTATCCTCGCCCCGCATCGGGCCCAGCCGCCCCCGGCCCCACCCCCCTGACCTATGCGCAGTGCGCGTCATCGTTCGTCTCGGATCCGTACGCCATAGCTTTGCATCGCAAGTATGCGGCCAGAACCAGCAACGAAGCGGCGGCGCAGGGCTCGCCACCAGCCAAGCGGCGATGGCGGCGACGCTGCAGACCGCAGCTCTGCTGCTCGTCATGCTGCTGGGTCTTCCATTTTCAAGAAACTTCTCGGGATGTATGGGGCGTGCAAGGTTATGTCCGCGCGTGATCTCTGTGAGTTGTGTTATTATCTTGATGCCGCGGGTGTTGAGGGAGCTGACTGGGATTTATACAAAATGGCGCCTGACCTTCAATCAGGCCAGTACAAAGCTCGACTTGATCAAGTCCTCCCGCAGACTTTCACTTTTGTTGATGTGGAGATGCCCGCGCGCGTGCAGGGTCGGGCAGAGCGAACGTACCACACCATTCCCATTGCATTAGCATACAATTCATTAGCCGATGAATTTGATCAGAACCCGTGGATGAGGGAGAACCTTGAGAATGGGTCGGTGGACCGCGCGTCTCATCTAGCAAACCGATCATACCTCAGCAGTCCTAACGTCCAGGAAGCACTGGCATCTGGCAAGAACTATCCCCTCCCGATTGCATTTTACTGCGATGGCGTTCGGTTCACGGCAATGCAGTCGAGACCAGACTCCATATTGGGTATATCCATCACCAACCTGTTGTCGAATAAGCGTCACTTGGTAGCGGTGGTGCGTACTGGGGACATGTGTACCTGCGGCTGCGGCGGGTGGTGTTCCATATACACCGTCCTCCGCGCTGTGGCGTGGCAGTTGCGTGCTCTCAAGGACGGCTTCTCCCCTGCAGCAAAGCCTGACGGCTCGGCGTGGGATGACGAGAAGGACGCCTCGCGGGCGTTGGGGTTTACTGCGACAATGGTGTATGCCAAAGGAGATTGGTCTGAATTTGCCAAAACCTTTGGATTGAGCAATTGGCAGACGTTCCACAATCCGTGCCCGTGCTGTCCAGCGCCATCCAGCTGCCTCCACTTTGTCATTCCTGGCATGTTGGATGCCAGCGGGGTGACCTACGAGGACAGGGCCGCGGCCGACTACGAGCAGAGCTGCCTTGCGTGTGAGCGCCATGTCAACGTCCTCGACAATCGCCAGCGATCTGAAATTGTGCGCTTGCTGAAATACCACCCAGATGAGATTGGCAAGGGCAGGTGCCTGATCACTGCTCTACCCGAGTTCGGGCTCTTGGCGGGTGACCGGTTGGAGCCTGGTGGCGACGTTCACGACATCCGACAGTTTGACAGCCTCAAAACGCCATTCAAGTGTGTCTTCTGGAGGAAACACTTTGACCAGCATGGGCGGTGCACCGACTGGGCTAACCACCGATGCCCATTATTTGATAGGTATTTGGGAACTTCTCCTCATGAGAACCTCGCGATAGATACACTTCATACTTTGTACTACGGTCCTGTGATGAGGGCGACGTCGTGCGCATTATCTCGCATCCTTCAGGCGAATGTGTGGTCATTCCATGGCAGGTTCGAGCTTTCAGTGGCACATTGCATTCGGCGCCTGGAGAGCGAAATGTTCAAGTGGTTTGATGACGAGGGCGTCCCGCACGATCGGAGGCTGGGCCGTCTGACATTGAAAATGATTGGTTTCAACGCCTGTGGTAAACAGGCGAAGGCTTCCCTCTCGTGGATGCCGCACCCAGGTGCGATCATGGCAACGAAGGCCGCAGAGACGGCACTCCTCCTTGATTTTGCAGTTCATCAGCTAAAGAAGTGGGGCAATCGCATCTATGGGAGCAGCGACTTGTTGACAGCCTGCAAGTCTTTGCAGGCGTGGCTCGACGTGTGCAGGCACGCGCCCCTCGTGCTCGAGGCAGACTACTACCAGGAGCTTCTGGACAATGCTGTTCGTTTCTGCGTGCACGCCGAGAATGCGGGCATCGCGTTCACGCCCAAGTTCCATGTGTTCTGCCACATGAGCGTAGGGTCAAGCGTCGCAACAATCGTCGTCTTTCGCCCCATAGCCACCTCCCCCGCCGCCCCTGCCCAGCCCCCGAGCTCGCCCCCCCCCTTCGCCCGCCCGCCCCCTTCAGAAGGGGGGAAGGGTGCATTCTGCAGGGGGGGGGGGGGGGAGGGGGGGGGATAATTCGTGTGCTCGACGTGCTGGCTCTCGCTTATACCGCCTGACCCTATACCTCGCCCACTGGAGGGGAGGGAGCGAGGGGGGGGGGTGAGCGGGATCAGAAAGATACAGAGAGAGAGAGAGAGAGACATAGAGAAAGAGAGAGAGAGAGAGAGAGAGAGAGAGAGAGAACAAGAGAGGGAGAGGGAGAGGGAGAGGGAAAGGGATAGAGAGAGAGAGGGGGAGAGAGAGAGAGAGCGAGGGGAAGAGAGAGAGAGAGAGAGGGAGAGAGAGAGAGAGAGAGAGAGAGAGAGAAAGACATAAAGAAATAAAGAACGAAAGAGAGAAATAGAGACATATAGAGAGAGAGAGAGAGAGAGAGAGAAACAAAAAAGGAGAGAGAGAGAGAGAGAGAGAGAAAGAGATAGTGGATGGAGGAGGGAAGAGGGAATGAGGAGGAAGGAGGAGAGGGGAGGGATGGGAGAGGGGGTTCTCACGGCAGGCAAAAAGCGAGCGGCCGAAGCGCCTGCAGGATGGTGAGCTCGGGGACCTGATCGGGGTGCCATTTCGAGAGGGGAACGCATGCTTCCTCCACCTTCCCGTCATCCACTTCCCCCGCGCTTCATCTTCTCCTCCCTCTCCTTATCCTCATCTGCCCCTTCCTTCCCTCCTCTTCCCTTCTCCTCCACCCCCTCCTCCTTCGCCTCCTGCCATCGCCCCGCCCCCCCTCTCCCGCGGGGGAGGGGGGGGGGGTGGGAGAAGGGGGTGGGCGGGGGGATGGGTCGCGAGTGCGTCGCATATCCCCAACGCTGCGCGCGCCCCCGCCTGGCCACGCGCAGGAGGGGGAGAAGGATGGGGGGAGGAGGAGTAGGGGGGGGGGATGGGGGAATATGGTCGAAATGAATAGTAAGCGTCGAGGTTCGTAGGGGTCCAACTCAGGCCTAACGGGCCTGATATAGGACGGCGCCCGCGCGCGTGCGAGGGTGAGAAGAAATTCGGTAGGCATGCAAGGTGCAGTTACTTCGCGATCCAGTTCGGCGCCCGCCTGAGACTTCTTCAATATTTTGATTTCATCGCTTGGCCTGGCCAAGCGCCGACGCGCGGGGGATAGAAAGGCAGAGGGGCGGAAAGTTTCGGGCGCAAGATGTCGGGGGGGGAGGGCGGGGGCGAACCGTTCCCCCAAGGAGGAAACCATCTGACGCTATTAGTTTACTCCTTGTAGGGGTTGGCGGGGTTGCATAACGTTGGTTCGCGCTCAACGCAGGTCTTGGAATCTTGGCAACCC